ATTTTGAAAACGGAAAAAATGATAGTTATTCCGGCCCAGCATCAACCTTGAAAAATGCCCCGGCATGAAGTGGTTAAGAAAAGTCCTGAGGAACAACACAGAGGAGATGCCAAACACCCTGTAAACTGTTTCTGCTTAGCGTGCTGTTGTCTTGGACAAGTTTGAATATTATTGGTAAATTAGCCAACTCTTCCCTAGAGATGAGTCAACCAGGATAAAGTTATACTTGGACACTTAACTGTGCCAGGCAAAATATGATAATTCCTTAATGATTGACTTGGGTTCTTAATCTTGTGTTGGCTTGAGTCTTACATGGATAAATAAATAAGTTATCTGTTGATTTTCACTGATTTCTTTGAAGAATTGTGCTTCTGAAGTGTGAACATGTACTTTTTTGCAGCATCTTTTAATTTTAGTCAGAACTTTTCCTGTATTTATTGTATGAAATCCCTGCATACTTATGAATAGCCTTTTAAGTATTTTCCTACCTTAATTTAGTTGAAAGTCACCAAGTTTTTCTGTCACATAAGGCAATGTATCATTTAGTTTTTTTTAAGATTTCATGTGAAATTGCAGTTTTATTTGAGTGAGGTGTTTTGTTTTTCTCTGCCATTTCAGCTAACTCTAGCAACACGTGTTGCAGCCTGCTTCAGTTTCAACCTCTCCATTGTCTTCAAATTTCTCCTTGAACTTTATTCTTTTGTGATAAACCCCACAACTGTGATTTTGTTTCAGATGACAGTCCGTGGGGTCTTGCGAATGAACTAGTGGAATATGGTTTCATCAACAGCGTGAGTATCCTGTCATTGCATTACTGCTGAAAGCTTGGCAGAAGGGCAAAGTGTGGGTGTTCACATTTTGCCGAAGGCTGAACTTGTGCTTGCCGAAGTTGAGCCTTGTTGGCTGACTATCGAAACTCAACCCAAGCAAAAAAAACAACTTAACCCAAAATAAACCTTCTCAGCCCCAGCAAACCCAACAAAACTCTATACCAACCTGACCCAATCTAACCCAGTCTGTTCAGCCATATTCGTTCCAGCCCAGTCCAACCCAACTGACTCAACCTGACCTAACCAAGTCCGATCCAACCCATTGCAACCCATGTCAACTTGACACAACCCAGCCTGACCCAACCCACCCCAGCCCACTACAACCCAGCTCATCCCCAAGAAAGCCTAAGATCCTTGCAAGCCATAGAAAGCCTCAGAAATCAAATTCCAGCTTTTCCAATGTTTGAGCTCATTTTTATTTCTGCAACAAAGATTGTGGTTTGTTAAAGCCCACCCTGGGTGATCCATATTTCATTCCATCAATAAACATGGCAGTCAGTACCACAGTCAAGCAGTACTACAGTCAGTATCACAGCCAATACCACAGTCAGTGCCTCAACCAATATCACAGTCAGTACCTCAGCCAATATTACAGTCACTACCACAGCCAGTACCACAGCCAGTACCACAGTCACTACCACAGCCAATACCACAGTCACTACCACAGCCAATACCACAGTCAGTACCTCAGCCAGTATCACAGCCAATACCACAGTCATTACCACAGCCAATACCACAGTCAGTACCTCAGCCAGTATCACAGCCAATACCACAGTCAGTACCTCAGCCAGTATCACAGCCAATACCACAGTCAGTACCTCAGCCAGTTCCACAGCCAATACCTCGGTCTTCCAATACTGCAATCAGTACCACAGTTAGTGCTACATTCCTGCGATAGCACAGTCAATATCACAGTCCATAATTTTTCTCTGGTCAGTTTCCTCCAACAGCAGCACACCTTGTGAACTAAAAATTGCTACAAATGGCTACATAAGATCCAGATTGCATTCTGCATAAACATCTTGGACAAAAATGACCATTTGCTTCTTTGTTTCCTTGTGCATTTCAGTGTGACCGGAGTCGCGTCGCAGCTCTGATCGAGGAGAAACTCAACTTTCCAACCAGCCAGCCATCTGGACTTCCAGTCTCTGTCAGCTCGTAGCAAGAACTTCACCGCCATTCTGCTTCCACCCCCTCCTGGGTTGCAGCTTGACGACCTCAACCAATGCAACTTGAAACTTGTAATAATCTCACTTTGTACATTCTACAACCTGCCACAGTGTAGAAATTATATAAAAAAAAGAAAGTGTCACAGTTCTTTTCATTTTTTTTGGTGGTGATCAACTCACAAGTGGAAGAATTTTACAGGATTGTCTGTTTGATATCTACTATGTTAAAATGAGTCGCATTTATTTGGAAAAAAAAGAGAGTTGAGAATGTAGAAAAAAAGTAAAATGTATATATTTTTAATTTTGGATTATTTTATAAAAGACAGGTTCCTGTTTGAACTAGAATTCCAAAAACATGTGAATCAGTATGTAGAACATTTTTGGCTTCAACCTGGCATTTTCCATTTGGTATGGGGCATTCACTTCATCGTCACAAATGAAACATGTAAATTTCACAAAGCGGAGGAGTAGATTTCTTGGGAAGTAATAAATCCCAAAAGCTGCTTCTGCAAGGTGTGACAATTCCTGACAGAGCAGGTCAGTTTGTTTTTTGAAACTGTACCATGTGTAACTTTGGAAGGCTAGTGTAACCCAAAAGGAAAGAAAGAAATATGGAGTTATGAATCAGAAGTTTGCAATCTGTAGGTAGACATACATGCCATGCTTGTGTACTCGTTGAGATGCTTTGCACATATGGAGTGCACTGTCCACCTTTTGAAAAATATTTTAGCCCCCTTGACTGTATTGCCTCATGGCAGACAATAACTTCTGGTAGGATTCTCCGTCCCTAGAACCAAAAAAGAGGAGACAATCCTCAGCCTTGCTGCAGTAACCAACTGACATTGTCCAAAGTGCATGAATGTCCCACTTTATTCTCCTAATACTGTGTATGCACAGAATAGAACTAAAGGAAGATTTGTTATGTTAAGCTTAAAAAGGGTTGCCGCTCCTAAATACAAACTTAAACATCTCAGATGGTTGAGATATTTTAGAAGCACAAAGCAGAACCTGGCTGTGTTTGGTGATACCTCCGAAGGCAGTTGAATGTTAATTCATTAGACGTTACCTCCTTTTCATTTCATTTCATTTCATACTGGTTTATTAAAATCCATTTTCGCAGTTAAAAAAAAAAACTGAATTACAATGGATTTAACAATCAAAATAAAAAAGATTTCGCAATTAAAATAAGAATTTTAAAAAAAGAAAAATTATAATTAAATAATTACGAAAAATATTCAACATTTACCATTACAGTTTACACTCACAAAAAATAAACCATATAACATGACCATCCGTTGCAATTTACACTTCAAAGATGAAACTGTTGTGATCTTAAAAATTTCAGTCATATCTAACCTTTAAAATTTCACTCCCATGTAAAAAAAAACATTTAATAGAGGGCATTTCTTAAGAGGAGCACAATCCAAATATTTCTACCAAGAGAACTCCTTTAGTAAACACTGATTATAATAGGGACATCGTAACCTCTTGCAGCTTGTGTCAATGCTTTGGGATCATTTGCATTGAAGCCCCCACATTTGTGGAAAACAACTTCAGGAGGATTTCTTGAAAGTTATGCCATTTGACAGGAAGACTTAAGAACAATACAGCTTTAATGAATAAAAACTCTACTCAAACAAGAGAGATGTGTAGTAGTTTGTCACAAGTGGCAGCGTGCAATTTGAAACAACTTGACCTGAAGTCACAAAACGCAACTCTTGATACACAGTTTTTGCACACAGTTCATCCCTGGAATTACCTCAGTAGACTTGTAAGTGCTACACTCTTGCAGGGTCCCTCTCGCACAGTACAATGACTGTATTGTGAGTTCACTCTACAACCCATGGCTAGTTATCTAACACGCAGCAAAGAGCGGTCTGATTTTTCTGTCCAAAAGCTTTCAGATCTGAATGCAATATTAGGTAGTTTCTGTGCACAAGAAGTTTCGTGAAATGGCATGTACAATGCCCAAAGGGTTCTACAACTGGTAATGCGCTGCATCTCACAATCTAATGCATTGCAGCACTTTGTGAATTCCTGTCAAAGTCACACAAAGCACCTCCACCAAAGTAGCCCAGGATGTGTTTCATTCTTGGCATAGTTCTGATGCCTAGAGTGGCAACCATTGACAGGGAAGAAAGCCCTCTTATCGCTGAAGTGCCTGAAGTAGTTGTAAGTGGTTGTTATACTGACCAACCAGATAGGCTTCTGCATTGCAATTTGGTCTCTTTGAATCTTCGTTGTCTTTTGTCTAAAAAAGGAAAGATTCCATTTCCGTTGAGTGCCACTTGTGACATTAGTTAGATGAAAGGAAAGTAAGAAAAAAAATGGCAAGCATGCACAAAAGCTCAAAAGATAAGCTGGAATAACCTTTGACCTTTCAAGTCCTCCAAAGCAATTGCTTTTTTCTTTTTTTCCCCTTAAAAATAAGGCAACCCAAGAAGACTGTATTGAACCAAGCCACAAACTGAGTAATTCTTTAGCCAAAGACTGTAAAATAGAGATCTTGTAAAAGAAATTTCAAGAAAAGAAATTGTCAGTTTAAGGAGTACCAATTATAGTGCATTGTAATGCATCCTAATACATGTGCTTAATATTTAAACTTGTAGATAATCTAATTAAGAATTGTTAACAGTACATTTTAGCATGATAGAGGCATCAGTATGGAAAAAAATTTAAATCTATAATGGTAGATGTCGTTAAACAGTGTAAATAGGACAGAGTCTATTTAGGCTTTGGGGCTTCATCAGTTTGGAGTTGAAAATGTTTTCAGTATTTTGGGTTTCATTTTGAAAGTGTTGCTTGTTGCATATTTTTGCCCCTTTTTTGGGGGGGGAATTCTGTTGGGAACATGCCCACTTCAGAATGGAGCCAAGTGTAAGTCTTCCTTCAAGTTGTACTGTATTTTTGTAGGAATATTTCATCTTTTTTCTGTTTCTCTATTTTTTTTCAGTTTAGGTTTCTTTAGTTTTCATTTCTTGCAAACATCTCCTTCATAAGCAGCATCACAGGTTCCATGTTTAACTTGTCGGGGAAAAAAAGCGACCAAAATAATTGAGTTTTTTTTTTAGTGATTAGGAACAGTGAATTACTCGGAACAGTTACTAACAGTTTGAATTAGTCGCCTCTCATAGTTCCACCATTTATGGGTGGCAGCTTTCTGCACATGGGTGAACATCACTGCTGCTCTGAGGTTTTCATGTGTCGACATGTTTTCAGGACAAACGGTCTCACAGATTTCTGATGAAAAGGGTTTTGACTGAGATAGATCCCCGACGCTGTTATTCAGTCATTTTTCAGTGAGTACCTAGCACTGCTCCATACTCAATCTGCCATCAGTGGTCAGTGTCAACTTCCTAAAAGACAGAAGATCTCCAAGACTGCCCTGAATGCCAGCGATAACATATGAACATAGCCTGGAAATATTGACTAAATTATTGAAAACAAGAAAGTATAGGAACCAACTAACCAACTTAACCCAACATTTTTACAGACTTTGAAGTTGTATGCTGATACTTTCATTTTTAAAAGAAATTCTTAGAAATTAAAGCACCACAATTAATCAGATTCTAGAAGAATGGCTTATATTCAAAAATGAGGGCCAGAACAAGGAAGCCTTTTCTGATTGGCCGTAACTCTGTTGTGTGTGGTTGTCTTGGAAACCTACTTTAGTGAAAAGAATTTCACCAAAGATTTGGCAGTTGACCACAACTAGATGGTCAGATAGACTGGTGGATTGCACCAATTTTCATGACGTGAATATCTCAAACGATGACAGTTTTCCAGATTTACATGTTGCATGAAACCATCATCAGTATCCCAAAACAGGAGCCTGTGTCAAAAGTTGATGGCTGGGCCCACAAAATGGTGGGATTTTTGTTTTGTGTTTACATGAGGTTTGACTAGAACTGTAAATATATCAAGCACTATTTGGTCCTTTCCCTCCATTTAGTGTTGAGAACTGTGCAGTAGCTCCATTCCATCATTCCAGATCAGTTTTTGGTGCTGTGGTTGTAAAAAAAAAATGCACGTCTGTCAGAGTGTATATCTCGCTCAGATTGGTCTTGGAAAAGATTTGGGGCCACTTCAGGTGTTTTTGTTTCATTTAATGAGAACAATATGGTAATAGTTAGTTTTTTTCCTCCAAATAAATGTACATTGGTTCTTGTTTCAAGCCGATACCTGAATATGTGCAACAGTAATAACAACCATAAAAGTGGTTTTAAAAATTGTTGGTGCATTTTGAGGGGGTACATCCATTGTGCGCAGCACGCTGTGCTCAAGACATCACAACATGAGTGTTCTTACACCTTTCCACCAGCAAATAGCTTTAGCAGTGGGTGTACAATCTTCATGTGAAAAATAGCAGACTGGCGTTTTTTCCTACTCACAACTTGAAAGGCTGCACCAGTCTTTGAGATTATCCTGGATGACTGATAGTGTAAATAATTCAATCGTATTTCAGGATTTGATCAAAGTATAAATTGATAAAGCGGTAAAATATTTTAAAGAGCCTAGAAATTGCTTACTTGTACATTGAACCCGGAGCACATTACAAGATACGTGTGTAATTATTCTATGATTTTTTTTTTTTTGAAGGACGACTCTGAGTTGTTTTTTTTTTCCTGGCAGAAAGTTCTGGAATTTGTATCATAAATGAGGCTTTTGAGAGTTTCCACACCTTTTTTCCACCACACTTTGCTTTTTCTGTTGTAAATTTCAGTGTGCGTGAGAAAATACAGTTTGTTTTATATAACTGCTTGTATTAAAATGAATTAACTTATCAGTTGTTAATTGATAACGTGCTTTATACTTTGAACACGCATAAAAAATTGAATCCACATGTTTCATATTGTACATATTTGTATTTCAGTATTGTTCAGTTTCTTGAAAGTATAGGCAGTGGACTTATACATGTATTAATTTCCAGATAATTTGTAATCGCTGTTGATATATGGGCCAAAATGAAACTAATGGTGTTTTCAGAGTTAATTGAAAACCGAGGTTGACTTAGCCCTTGGTCAAGAGTTTAAATAGCAAAGAATAATCTTTGTTTACTTAGTTGTAAAAAAGTAAATTTGGCAAGAATAAGTAGATACAGGGGAGACCGCTTTTTGTAACATGCACATTCAATTCGGTAGCTGTGAAAGCCAGTGTTTGAAATCTGCCTCGCTTCTGGCACGTGCATGTCCTCATCATCAGTGGGATATGAAAAACTTGTTACCCATATATTGGGGAGCAGGTTTTTAAAAGCTTTGCCCTTGAACCTATACAAGTGGGAAGCTGGACCAGTTAAAAAGGGTGGGTTGCCTTTGTATGCCATGGACAGAACTAGGTGGCACTATTGATCAGACCTCCTTCACCAACAGTGGTAATTTTTACCATCGAGCACAGTAGGTGATTTGGAGTTTGGTTCTGTTTACATCTACCCCGCCCCAAGAGCTGCCCAAGAACCCAGAGAGGTTCTGCATGGCAGCCATCTTTCTAGTAACTGCTTTTGTCGCGGAGGGATAGCATAAGTGGTCTACTCATGTGTATTCCCGTGAAATAAAAGCACTTACCAGAAAAATGACTGTCATACGGAACCTCTATATCAATGCAGCTGTGTTGCTTTCGATCGGCCGCTTATAATTGGTCCGGTCTCACAATTGGCCGCTTATAATTGGTGTGGGCTCACCAAAAATATGGCTTACACAATGGCAAGATCTTTATCATTAAAAAGTGTCATTCCTATCCAAGTATTCTGCTTCTGGGTCGCCCATCTTCAATCTAGTCTTACGTGCTACAAGTGCAAAGAATGAGTTGGGGGGAATCTCACGGTTTCACAAGGCTGGGACTGAATGCTCAAGCATGAAAAGACTTAAAAGATGGAATTGGATTCTCAAATTACGAGGGATCTGTCATAGAAATATCCCCTTGCAAAGTTTAGTCAGTATAGATAATGTGTGTTTTTTTTTCCCTTTTTGGTCACTGACTGTTTTAGGTCAGGGATGGCAGTACATTTTTGTATATTGTAAATTGAATTTTTGTTTTGTATGGCCGTTTATGAGTATTTACTTGTTTTATTTGGTACAGATATTCTGGTGCCTCGTTACTTCCGATATTCATATACTCTCTGATTTTCTTGTATATGCACGTTCAGTTTTCTTCATCAGTTAGCTCCATGAAATATGCTGTATGAAAGTTTTGGTTTTCATTTTGTATGTGGCCGTTATTTGAGGAGGTTTGTTTTGGGGGTTTTTTTGGTAGACTTGTAAATATTGTTGACTCGCAACATCGAGCCTGTAACAGCTTGCTGTGCAAATGCGTTTAAAGAGCTGTAAACTGCTGAGTTGATTCAACCATTTAAAGCTCATAACAGTAAACTGTGGTTAAAATCCACAGATGTCCATGTTGCTCTTTCATTTGGGTAATTTTGGAAGAGTTTTTGGCGGTGCAACAATCAGACGGACGTGCTGTAAAACATTACTGTTAGTTATGAGCCCTCTGTGGTAACTCATTTGGGCATTGTTTGAAATGAGCAGGGGAGGCCTGAGGGGGCACTCCAGTTAATGTGCTGAGTGGCAGTCATTGAGCAGATTCCAACAGAATGTGCACAGAATGCCAGCCACCGTGGGTCTTGACATCTGTCAGCCAGTGTATGAGAAGAATACATGTACATCCCAGAGTTCAGGACACATGTATAATAGTGCCCAGTGCCCTCAAAGTGGTGAAATGTTATACCCCCAGAATCATACACATGGGGTCAAGTTGGGGACGTCACTGAAAAAGACCTTTCAGAAATACAATCTGATAACCCAGTACAACTGATACCTTCATCAGAGCTAAACTTCAAGTGCAATTGCTGTTTTTTTTGTTGTTGTTTTTTTTTTTTAGTTTTTCCATTTTGCAATGACTTTCTTTCTACCTGATGCCTTGTGTGGGTTTTTTAAAACAGGTTGTTCCAAGGTACTTGTGGGTTTCTAAAATGATTTCTCAGCTTTAACGGGAACACAAATTAATCACTCCAGACTTGAATGAAACACACCTCATTGAAAGCAGTCACCTTGTTCAGTCTTGAGTGATACCACAAGCTATTCAAGTGACCTGTGAGAAAGGGCAGTCACTTGCCGAAGTCACTTGTGGGCACGGTGTGTAACAGTGACACTGACAGTTATCCCTTCAGTGTCACTGTCTGTCTGTCACTTTTGAATTTGTAAATGTGACTTCAGTTGGCACTGCAATTGATTTTTTTTATAAATTGTGATTTGAAGATGGCACTTTTTCATTGCAGTAGACTCACAAAACATGGACTGCAGGTTTGCAAAGCTCCTACTTCTCAAGGAGTCGGTAATGTGGAGTCCCATTCAAGTGACAACTGTGACTGTAGTGAATATTGTTTCCTCACTGTCTGACAGTGACACCAGAAGATGTGAAGAGGACAGTGAACTCGGGTACCGTGGAACAACACTGTTCAATACAATTGTAGTATTTCTTTCCTAGAAACTTTCAGCGTTTGTAAATACATGTATAATCTAGATAGAATTTTCTTTTCTGCACATAAGTTCATTGTCATTTAGATTTCTCTGTAGTTTGATGACAGAAACTGTCATTTGTCACTGTTTCATTATCCCCAGAACTCAGTATTTATTGTGGAAAGTCTGCTATAGTTGTGGGAAAATTGCGACTCTGAACCACTGAAGAAAGCCGCCATTCAAGAAATAAGTTGACTCTCAAGTATTTACGCGCAGCTCACATTGTGTGGGAGGTTTTTTTCGGCTATTAAGGGGAAAAACCCTGTAAAAATGTCCCAATTTGTGAGCATTTAGATCCTACCAAACATCTACTTGTAATCAAGATGTATGTATTAAATGTGGCATTTAGGATTGAAAATTACATGTAATATGCAAAGTCCATCATCCCAACTTCTCACACATGACCTTTGATGTCAAGTTCAATTATACTCCGTTATCATAGCAACCGTGAGCATTTCAGCATCAGTTGCTGTCACCATATTGTTGTCAAAGATGAAAGTGTACTATTCTAAGCAGTCACACGAAATATAGATGTAAATTTCACTTTGTTTGATAGAGGTGTTTTTCAACGTTGGGTATTGGACGATTGCTCATATTTGAAACATTTATATATGGGGAAAATTTCATTGTGTAAGATACATACATAAAGACAAAGCAATGTCTAAAACCTCCCCTCCTCGGGCAACTTGTCTTTGCCCCAGGCCAGATTCTTGGAGTTTGTGTTTCCTGTACAGACATCATGTTACCACTGTAATTCTAAATCATTGTGCATTACATTTTGATTCGTCGGTGCAAATAATGAGGTAGCCATTGGACGGCGAAAGCTGGTTACTAGCTTCAGTGCCGTGTATCGCTTAATGCTGTGATGTACTGCATAAGTGGTACTTGCGTGATATTTGTGTAACCTTTTGCTTACTGACAGTCTTATTGAGACTGTCATAATGATGCCCCATTGAGATGCACATAGGTGTTGGACCTTCCTTGGTCAGAGTCCTTTGTGGCTACAGTCACTGGCACTGCTGTTTATTTAGGTGAATTTCTTTTAAGATGTTGTCACTCACCATAGTGACCTTACACTGTAGAACAGTGAAGCTAACAGCACACTTGTGCATGCCGTTATTTCTCAGCATGCTGTTCAATACTTATGTGCTAAATGTTTGTAAGTGTGACTGTCCAGTCCAGTGTAGTTTAACGTAATAAGGTCGGGGTTAAGGTCCTGAGACAACACTTTGGCCTTTTGGAAGCCCTATTGTGTACATTGTCCCTTGGAATAATGTGGCTACCATGAAAGACTATACCCAATGGATGGAAGCATAAAATACACCTGTCTCTGAAAATCCCCTGACGTGTTTTTCAGTAGACAAGCTGTGGACTGCAGTTACTACATGTGGCTTTGAGATTTGGATCCCACAGATTTACAGTTGGAATTATTGACAAATGTAGTTCATGTCAAGGGTCATTGTAATTGCCATGTCAGTGAACCAGTTCGTTATTTCCAAAACCTAAGGTATTTCGGGAACAAAGCGTGCGCGCGAGTCAGCGTGTGACTGCCCGAATAGGGACACAGTCTCCCGCAGGCGTGCATAGCTGTTCCTGAATAGCCTGGGACTAGGCATGTGCTGCTAAAATACCGAACAGGCTGATTGAGGTGAAGTGTCTAGTATCAATCCAGACCAAGAAAAACAGGACACTGGTATTTGTTGACACACCGGTAATCCTCGCCAGATTTTCTGATGCCTTTAAGTTTGTTTGTCCAATCAGTAACTGGTTGCATGCATTTATACTCGGACAAAAGGCCAGTATTGTACTCTAAAAAAATCTGCATTCATGAAAGTACAGTAACATGTCCAAAATTAATGCCAAAGTCTGTTGTATCATTTGAGAATAATTACACTTGAGTTTGTGGCATGTAAAGAGTGTTCGTTGTTCTGATATCTAGGAATACTTGTACCTGTGTTGCTACATAGGGTTTTATACATGTATGTGTTTTTGGCATGTATGTGTTATGTGACTACATGTACTAATTAATGTGCCTTTGATGCCTGGCCTGCACTATACGCCACTGCATACGCTATGAGTGCTTTGTCGTCCCGGTCATCCTTGTAATTTGTTTTGGGATTATTTGATGATGTTTAGTACCCTCCAGAGTGGGCTACATGGTCCATGACATTGACACACACCGTTGAAATTGCAGGTATTCCCAAGTGACAGTAAACTAGCCTCGAGTCCAGCCACTTTTATTTCAGTTTTTGGCTAAAAGAAGTGCAGGAAAGAAGTGGCGGTGAAAATGTTGAAGAGTGGACGCTGGCGGAGGCGTACAATGGGGGAGGATCAATCTGTTTTTGTAACAAAGTGTGCAGGGTACCAGTTGGCCATGTTGTCTGCCTGTAGGGAAAAATTGTAACTTTTCCAGTCAAGGCAGTGAAGACGGGTTTCTCCTCATTACCCAAGTTGGACTTGCGTTAACCAGCTTGATGTTTTGTTTGCAAACTCAACTTCTTGTTGATGCCTGAATTTTGTTGTCAATTGCCCTTTTCAGGTTTCTTGTATAGTGTTTTACGTTTCCTAAACACTGCTTTGTGAATGTTTATAATGTCAACATGATATATTAAATTTCAGTTCAGAATTTCATTTCTTTATCAAGGGGGAAAATAACCATGCTTTTCGCTCTATGTTATGTGAAACTTCAAGAAAAGGAAACATGGCAGACTTGGCAGACGGCTTGGGAACTCGACAGACATGACAAGCTGTCTGAAAAGCATGTCAAAATCTGCAACGCCAAATCTGAAGGTTAGCTTACCTGTTTTCTTGGAGATGGTCAAACAGTCGCTTTGGATTTCACAAGTTACAGCAGGCTCTACCATTCTAACATTGGTGACAACTTGCTTTTTTTAAAAGTCAGTCAAAAAGAGTTTGAGCAAGGAAAATGCACAGTCATAACAGTTTGATGTCGCTTTATCACAGCTTTTGGATTTCTTTCAACTGCCAATCTAATTAGGAAATGTGGATTTAAAATGTAGCCCAAAGAAAAAAACAGTGAACCTATGTGGTGTTTTTTTTGGCATACTCTGAACTTGCTCAAAAATTAAGTCAAAATTCATTCTGAAACACTGGTGTGCTCGTGTTTTCATCAAAGACAAGCTGTTTGGCTTTTTCACGCAAAAATCTAATTTTGCAGGTTTCGACATGCTGGACCACTCATCAAAAAATTAAACCATCATATCAGCATGGTTACATTTACAAGTCAAAAGGGATGTTTTCATCGCAACATATGAAAACACCAATAGTGACCAGTCGATTGGGATGTTTTCAAGTTATAGGGTAATAGAGAACTGTTAACTCTGAATTGATGTACATTTTGGGTTTTTATTTACATTTAAAGCAATTGTTTATAACAGTTTAATTATTAATGAAAGGTTCACAGTAATTTGTCTGATACCATGCTGAACGATGCAAATAAAGGAAAATGCTGAATGAGAGTAAACACAGCTTGGAATTCTTTCATTAATCTTGGTTAAATTTCAGAACATTAATTTTAAAAGGCAATTCTACATCAGATTTCTTGATGTCAAGACCATACATGTAGTAAACATCTTTCACAGAGCGTTTTTGTATGATTCCTCAGAAAGTCAAAGTTTAAAGAAAATGCAGGGCTAACCTCTTACAGTTTTTTCGGGGGGTTTCAAACTGAGAAAGACAATAAAACACTGATTTACATATACAATGTACTGCAAGGCTTCTCAATTGGATGACATCAACCTTTCAATGCACGAGGTTACATAAAAAATTCAGTTGATGTGCAAGGTGAATAATTGCTGTTGTTTTTATTAAAGTGACGAAGTCGATCAGAAGATCAGTACAGTACATTGACATAAGTTAAATGTGCTAATTTAGGAAACGCATATGCGCACAGCCACAATCAAGGGTGCCGTTTTCACAATGCAACAAGTCATACTGTTGAGGACTTCGATAAATATGGTCCAGTCAATCAAGATGAAGTACCAAGTGACCAAAATGATTGCCCTCAGATCGGCCACAGTTGCAGTGGACAAGCCACTGGTTTACAACAATACACTGTGTGCTGTATGCCCAACAGTGAGACTGCTTTCATGTAAAACAATAATGAAGTCTTTATCAAATGGCATACAGGTCAGGTGGTCACCAGTTGTGCCACAATATCCACAACTTTGTGCTGGCTCCGCAATTTTCTTACGTTTTGCCACTTCCCACAGCTTCGAAGGTTTTCCTACTTCCTGCATGCATTTGTGCAGTGCTGTGGGCACTGCCTAAGGTTTTGGGGCATATGTACGTGTACATCAGATCACATGCATGAACGAGAGTACTTCGTTGGCTTCAGGTGACGTGGCAGAAGCTAAGTTGGTACAGTCTAGGCACCATAGATTGTGGACTCTTTCAAATATGGAAATGGAAACCTTTTGGAAAGGAAAAATAACCTTGCATACAGATGTCCCGGCTACTTATCAACACTGTGTCCAAACATGAGCAGTTATCAGCTGTTTTAGCACAACGTAAAGGACATTTTGCTGGGCATGTTTTTTTAATCTTTTTTTTCTAACACCTGAAGAAAAGCAAGAAGCCCAGCCTCTGGGAGAGAAATGGAGGATTGAAGAGAGTGCAAAAGACCCAAAGAGACGGAGGGTTTCTGGCTGGGCTTCAACTCTCTAAGGCCAAACGATCAGTGTTCATGAAGCCTCAATAAAGAACAAAAAAGGCATGTCATGTTGGACAAAAGAACGTCACAGGACCCCCAACCTCAGCTGGCAGAAGTTAGGGCTCACCTATGCAACTCCCTTCACCTTCACAATGCAGTAGCCAAAGTGCTGAAGCAAGACTACTTGCTTGCAGGGTGAACAACCTGTGTCAGAGGTGGCACTCAAGGCTGTGGAAATTGCTCCATCCACAGGATCTTCAAAGAACTCTGGAGAAACATCGGCAGAGAAGGCTACACTCAGAGGAAAGACAGTCACTTCACTTCCTATGACAGGAGGCAGTAATACTTCAGAGAAATAACAAGAATCATCACGAATAAGTCCCAAGTACATCCAAGTTTTGAGTCCATCAGGGGATAAAGCTGCTGGAATGCATGCCAAACTCCAAGATTATATTAAGCTGCACTGTCTCTCCTTCAAACAAAACACTGAATTTGGAGCTTCAAGAAGAAGCACCTAATGTTCGCCTCCTTCACTAGACGTTGCAGGACTCCCTAAGGAACATCTTGATGGTGGCTACCTCTGATTTGCTTGAGTCATGGGGACTTCAAAGAAAGAATGCAATTCAAAACGCTGATGAGCAGATTGGGGGCATCATCATTGGGAAGAGTGTGAGAGAGTTTCTTGCATGATCACCGTTCTCAACAAAGGAGAGGGCCGAATTAGAATTTCATACATCTGTGAGAAAGTACTTTGTTGCTGTTTGCTTTTAGAATCAGTAAATTTCCCCTAAATGATGAAGTCCTTTAATAAGCATGCAACAGTTGCTCATCCAATGAACAGAATGGAAGTTCCATCCTCATCACTCTCCTGCTTTGCAAAGAGATTCCATTCCATGGACAAAGTAAGATGAACTTGAAATAGCGTTTGAACTGTTTCAGGTCAACAAACTTGAAAATGTGTCTCTAGATAAGCATGGGTGGATATCGCACATATGAAAGACAGATCAACTGGCCTGCTCAAGGTCATCTATCTCCCCAAGATCATGCTGGCAAATCTCTCACTGCCCCCACAGCAATGCAGAGGATGGGTGGATTTTCAGTCTAGTGAGGAAAAATGTCTCTGAAGTTCGACCAAGCCTCAGCACTAAGACACTCTTTGACTTACTTACCGAGAAGGTGCAAAGTCAATCCCAAAGGAAAATGTGCCATCACGTGGGGTTCCCTGAAAAGCTCCTTGAAAAGTGCGCACAGGCAGCTTTGGTGTACAATAAACAATGATGCATTAGCATCTGCTCTCATAAATTAAACTGTGGATTTGGGCGTTAAGTGATTGAATAGATACAACTTTGCTCGTGCACAAGTCGTCTATTTTACTTGAAAATACTTATATTTTATTTTGAAATCTAGCCAGAGATTCCATGAGATCCCAATTGCACATGTGCGGTCATAACATTGCGTGCAGTCAAAACAGCGACTGTTTCCAACTTTTTATGGTGTTTGAATGTCGGAACTTGCATGTTTTTTCCGGCGGTATTGCAACAATATCCCGAAATGTTGACTTCACAATCACAGGATATACCTTTAGAGACTACCAAGCAGAAAAGGGGTAAGAAATGTGGAAATCCACGCTAATTCGGCGGGAAAGTCGAGCGTCACCCAACCTCCTGACATGCTCTACACGCCCTAAGCAAATGGGACATTATTGTCTGGAAACTGGACAAGAACTCGAAGGCGACATTGACTGGCATGGCAAAATCAGTGCCAAGTGCCAAGAAATCAACAACTTCAAATATGAGTGGAACTGCATCTAGTTCCATGGAAAACCACTTTGCCCCAGCTGGGACAGCTGGTGGAGAAACAGACAAAGAGAATGAGAATTCAGACAAACAGTCATAGCAGCCGTAACGGGTCAATTGGTTGAGGCAGATGATGGTGCAAACACCCTTCTTGATGAGCATGGTGACGACCCCTCCAATGTGGAATTCAAGAATGCTGAATCCGCAGAGTTGGACACCGCACACAGACCAAACGGTTTATGATATCTTGCAGAGTCAAAATATTACTGCAAGCCCTTGGCCTAATTCACTACAGCTTGGGCATGTTGGGGGCTCGATATTAAAGCAACAACGGGACAAAGGGTTTGCTGCATGTTTTGTGGTCAATGCAGACATGGGAGACCCCATATTCGCAGTGATGTAGCAAACAGTCTCCACTTTGCATTGGTGGAGAAGCTGGAGGAAAAATTCATCCAGGATACCATTGATAAGTAAAAATGCCCTCAAAATGGCGAGGCTCTTGTACCCAAAGTGAGCCCACAAATCTGGGAAAACATCAACTCGCACTCCAGGTGACGCGATCTAAAGCTCCAATGTGTCCAAAAGCCATTGATCAAGGGTCTTACAACACTTGCAAAAGCCTGTGAAGGGCCATGCACTGTAGAACAAGAACACAGATGGCTACTTCTTGCCACAGCCAATTTTGAGCAGAACTGCTTAAGGAAAGAACTCATAAAACCAAATTTCAACCAACGCTATTCACACCAGTGTAAGCCATCCAATAAGGTCGCTACCCTACTCTTTGGTGATGACCTGGGCAAGCAAATCAAAGAACTGCAAGATGAACAAAGGGCCACATCCGGCGTGCTGAAGAATATCAAACCAAGACAAGGTCACAACCGACACCACCCATATTCAAAGAACTCTGCCACCAGACCGGCTGGAGAACTAATTCGAACCCTTTCTGAGGGGATAGCCCCAACCTCCCCAAATGCAGAGGAAAACTCAACATGTAGCTGCAAAATAACAGATGCAAAACATCCGCCAGTGGACAGAAACAGGAGCTCTCCAGACCCTCCCCTGTTCCAGCCAAGAAGCAGGCCAAGATGGGCCACAAAGCAAGGCAGAACAGGCGGGCGAGTCTCTTCAAAAAATGATCAAGTTTATGACAGCAGGCCCGTACATAGATGACATAGGCATAGTTGGGGGTCGATTGAAGTCATATATCAATGAGTGGGAAAAATTACCATCTGATCCAAGTATATTGCAAGCAACATTAGGATACAAATTGGAATTTGTTGATCACCACATCACAGCGGACCACTACCTCAGCAGGGACATCCACTACCTAACCGACTAGGCTCTGATGAAGTGTTGGCAGTTGATAGGGACATTCCAAAACTTCAGAAAAATGTTGCTGAATTTACAGAACCTGAAAGTGATCAATTTATTTCCAACATTTTCGACCGCCCAAAGAAAGATGGTGGACACAGGATAATTCCAGATCTTTCGGAGCTAAACCACTGTATTGTGTATAGACACTTCAAGATGGCTTCCTTTGATACCGCCAGAACTTTGATTACTCCACATTGCTATTTGGCTTCACTTGATTTGCAGGATGTATATTACTCTGTTCCCATTGCAGAAGAATATAGAAAATTTCTGAAATTTCAGTTTGAAAAATACACTCTATCAATACAAAGCGTTCGCCAATTGGCTCAGCTCCAGACCATGCCAATGTGTGTAGCATAGGACACATGCTATTTGTTACATCAATGACACATTTCTCATGTCACCATTCAAAGAGAGAACAGACAAATCCATGCAAGACACAGCAAGGCTCCTTGAAAGCCGTGGGTTCATTATTCCCCCCGAGAAGTCAGTCCTCACACCTAAACAAGGAACTGAATACCTTGGGTTCATTTTAAACTCGGTGAATATGAAAGTCCAACTGCCAGAAAGTAAGAGACAAGAAATAAAAACTGCTTGTACCAATTTACTTGCAAAAGAAACACACAATATAAAAACTGTCAACATCAGTTATTGCCAAACTTATGGCAACTTTTCCTACAGTTCAGTATGGCCCTCTCTTCTACAGAGCCCTAAAAAAGGAGAAAACCACGGCACTCGGCAACATTTGTGGTCACTTTGATTGAAAAATGCAACGGCCTTAATATCGTCCACCCTTATGACCATTCCAAAGACTGTTCATATACTAAGTAGAAAGTTATGACAAGACACGTGTGCTGCTCTGCAAAGTTTGATCTGTTCTGGTTTGTCACGAAGCACGCTCCGTAGCTCTTCCATATGCCTTTCCTGATGTCTAGAAAAATATTAACTTTATACCCATTTGTGGTATCAAACACTTAATGTGCAGTTTGCAAAACTAAAAGTGCACCTGTGATTGTGACTGTAAGGTTTTAAATGCCGCTACAGGGTTACCCCACCAGTGAAGACATCCCAAACTGATATTCTTGAGGTATCCTTCTCAACATTGAATAATGGTGTCCTCGTTTTGACCACCAAACGCATTTCAGACCAGCTAACTTGCAATTTAAAACAATAACACTAGTTGCCCTGCCACCAATTGAATGAGTAGAAAACATTTCAGAACAGGCAGTCAAACTAAGGCACCGGTAATAAGGACTAACTCTAGAAAGTTTTCAAATTCAAAGTCTTAATTTCCATGAAGCAAATGCACAAGCTCCCTTTCTTAGACATAGGCTAAATTAGTTTCCCAAGGTTCTCTTAGAATGAATACTTATACATACGTTCCTGCCACATTCCTGCAAGTATGCACTTGACCAGCTCACTCACAATGGGGTCGAGCAGATAGTTTTCCCCAGAAGTTCAATCCTTTCTAAATGTGGAAGGCTGGTATTTCATCGTCTCCTTTTGCCACTCGATGGGGTGTCTCGCACTTTGCCTTTGCTGCCTGGTTGGTTGCTTGACGATGATGTAAAAAGCTGGTACGTGTGACGCATTAAGGACTTCAACAATAATCAGGGACACAAATAATCTCTCCAGAGGTCTATGGACCTGCTTGCTCGCCATGTCCCAACTTTCCAAGTAACAAAATCCATCTGTCATTTTTCAAAATGATATTCAACTAACGCCTGCTTGTACAATGGAGAGCCAATTTTTGTTACAAATTTTCCGCAGCATAGTTTGGGTTGCATGGTGTTTAGAGAACAGTGATGAACCAGTGGCAAAGGGTCAGCCCTGAAAAGAGATGGGTGGGAAATTTGGAATCAGATTGTTAGGGAGTTGATCCCAACAATGCACTGGGTCCCCACAATAACTACTGTTTCAGAGGTGAGTAGTTCCCACAATGCCCAGATCGATGATGGCGTGCTGTTCTCATCTTCATCAGCCTCCTGATGACAAATACAGCACTTTAAAAATATTTAAAAATTAAGTTCAGAGCACAATCTTCAATTTCCAAGCGTGATTAAGTGGTGCACATTATCTGCCAAATGTGTACAAAAAAGTTTGAAGTCAATTTCAATGATACTGTGTATCCCTTGTCAAATTGCGCAGTCCAGGTGTAACAATCTGGACCCCAACTTTATAGAATGACCCTATATGGTGCTCCTACTGATTTCAGAACTTAAATTGTATTGGAAGGATATAGTTCAGGTCTGGCTTCCTGTCTCAGCATCCCGGTCAGAATGAACTCTGCACTGACCACCTGCAGGCCGGCCCTGATGGCCGCCTGGCACCTGGCTTCATCGGCGTCACAGGATACAATGAGTGTGGATGGGTCTGCTTTCCTTGGCATGCTGCTCAGGAACTGGGTGACAGACAGTAGGTCACAATTTATTATCAACCTTTCTGATCTTACGACAATACGGGATAATTCATCACCAAGAACAATGTTGCCGGCACAGAGACAGCTTTTTTCAAAGTACATCACAGGAAACAGGATGAGCATTTCATCAGCACATTAGCATTTCTCTTCCATTTTTGAGATACATCCAATTTAGGTGAAATGTTTTGTGCATCACTTCGGTAAAGGGACTTATATCATCAAGTGTGTTCTGTAGTGCTGCATAGAAATCGTACAAAAATGTACAAGATAAAATCTATATATGCAAGATGCCATGAAAGAAATATCTTGTAGTGAGATGTGCTGTGAAGTACTCTCGTTGGTGATATTTGCTAAAGGTTCTTAAAGAATCGGCTTTGAATGCTGTCAAAGCCAAATAACAATCCTGCCAAGACCAAAAACAGTGCAAATTAGACTTGTATGCTTTGCATGTTGGACATTAACAAAGGATGGAAGATATGTGGCAACACGGAAATTAATCTCTTTCTTTGAGTTGTGGGGTTCTGAGAGGAATTGAATGTTTCCACCAACAAGCTCTGTTCATCATTAGGATGTGCATGCACAAACCGTGCACCTCAAAGTCAATCTGAATGAGAATAGTGCAGGCAGGGCACAATGGTCAATTTTACTGACTGAATGCGCCAAGATTAAAACACTGTGTGCTTTACCACAACTGTCGAGAGGGGAATCTCTTTACCATGCCGAGAAGCTCAAAGAACTGCAGCAACGTTGCTGTCACAGAGACTAGAGCTCAGGAAACCTTGAGTTCAATCCTATCCACGAAAAATCGTGTCTGATAGATATGCTTAAATTTGTATTTAAAAGCTCTTTCAGCTTTCTCTAGTGGTTAGATACAGCAATTACATCTCGGTTCGGCCATCTTACATTTCCCCCGGCACTCCGTATAATCTCCTTCATCTGCGCTGGTTCCGGTTTGACATTGGGCGTCACAAAGAGGCTGAGCTGGGTCAGCACGCCTCCCTGTAGTGCTCTCTGGTGGGACGTTGCATGGCTGAAGCTGTACTGCTTCTCTGCCGCCTTGTCCTGGAGCAGATACGGCGAGGGGTCTGCGAGGACAGAAGAGGGAAAATCAAGGAATCTCAATGGTGAAGATTTTTCCAACGGCGGTAACTTCACAGACTTCAACTATGTCTGAGTATCTGCTGCACGGGCAGATCCACAATCACATCTTTGGAGAGAAGAGGTGGGCCACATTTTTGGGGGGAGGGAAATGAGCATTTCTTTATGCAATCCCATGGGCTTTTTCATGTGCAAGGCAAAATTGGTGGGCTTTTAAACTCACTTTGGGGAGGAAAGGAAATAAACTTGTACTCTCCAAGCAATCATCTATTCAGAACAGTAACCTAAAAATGACGTTCTGGGGGCCATAGCCCCACCCTTCCCGTTTCTTCCCCTGATTTACAGTGATCTGCTGGGTCTTTAATCATTGAAACTAAAGGTTATATGACTTAAATTAAATTCAATCTGGACAAATTGTTCACACTTTTTCTTTGAAGAGTCTAGTAGAGGAAATGACAAGGCAGACAATTTCATTTCAAATCCTGTAATTACACACCCACATGTGCATATTGTTGGTGCGGTGAAGAATTTCTTCAACAGATTAAAATTTGTTCTCTTAAAGGCCTCCATGCACCCGGAAAATAAAGACCTGACCATGATCAGAATATCATATAACAACAGTAGTGTCTTTCAATAAACCTCTGTGTTCATGTGTCTACGTCTCTATGGTGCTCTGTGGACTGTGGGCCCCCGTCCTGTTTCCGAGAAAAACGTATATGTACATTAAGTGGTATGTCATCAGCAGACAGGCCAATTTAATGCCGAGGTCTTCACTCTGAACACAGTCCATCAAAAGCTCACACAACCCACCAATGAATGCCTTATGAAGTTGGCACTGATCCAGCCATTTAGGGTCGATGATTAGAGAACCTCGGGAGAGGCAGCACAAGAACTTCACGGTGCGACGGACCTGTGAACAACCAAAAGCTCAAATAGATATGACATCAAACACTTTATCATTTTTCAACTAAAGGAAAACATTTGTGGGGCCAACAGGACTCAATTTTTTTATCCACAGTGATCGGCGGACACCTTCCCTTGACGGCAAACTTTATGGGCTCGCCTTGAGTTGACTCATCTGTCTGGTGATTTACATGTAGCTGCATCTCTGCAACCACTCAGCAATTCAGCACAACATGATGAGCCATCTCGTATGGAAGTGTTCGAAGTCTCATACCTTTGGCAAATTAGTAATTTGAATGTGTTAACCCTTTCAGCCACCACAGTGTACTCATTCCTGAGTTCTCAGTTACGAGCTCCGTGAGTAAGCATGAGATTGTCTGTCATCGGAAAGCTACAACGACCTTTTGGTGAGAGACGCACCATGTGCACCAGTGCATGCTCATGTGACACTGCCATGCTAAGCACACACAACCAATTTCTGTTGGACTGTACAGTCTTCACTGATGCAACAGGGAGCCAAGTCGATACAGTCCCAACCAGCCATTCTCTTCTCTGCCAGTGAGGGGGGTATTTCTACTCAAACAGGCAGGGCAAGTTCGGGAGGGATCATAACCACACATTAATAAAACTGATAAACTTCAGATAAAAAATAAGAAGTTTATCTGGAGTATTAGGTAACCCGGTCAGTTTTTGGAAGTCATTAAGCTATGTAAGCCTACACTGCAGAGATATCCCGAAAATGCTTAAAGGTACGATGAGCAGGGGTAGTAATGAGCCTTGAGCATAAATAATAGGATAGCACCAGACTACCATTTTTGTAATTAAACACAATGTCAGTAACATACCTTATCTGTGACTAGATGAGTGCAGTCAAAGACAGATTCTACCAACTCACCGCCCAGACTTGTTACAATCTAAGACAAAAACATAAAGGGCCCTTCAATCTAGACATGACCAAAACAATTCAAAAGTTAGATTGTTTCAGAAAACCAGTTACACTTTCAAACATGTGGATTTAATGGTAAACATTGCAAGCACAATGTCATCCACAAGCCGAGAGATAAACTAGAGATATTACAACATTTTAATTTGCATACTGGAACAATGTGTACAAAAGTATTGCTTTAACCACTTCCTGCCAGGGACTCCAGGATCGGAGATGTATGGTTTATATGGGTGGCCGGGGTCTCTGAACTTGGACAAAGGAAACAGGGCCCTGTAACAAAAGACCGTACTCCCAACAAAAGACCAGGATGCTGGGAATTACCGACATTTTTCACTCTCAAGAGTAGTGATAATCCAGCCGTGTTTTGAAACCCTATACCAGGGTTTGGGGGCATTGAGAGCGAGCGAATTACCACCGGGGACAAAAGTGCTCCACCACCGCAGCGATGAGCTTTACAGCACCGCTGCACGCTAATCTGGCCCCTATTGAAAAGAGGTCAGCAGTGCACTCAGCCAGGTTCATGAACAAAAGAAAGTTATACAACACCGCACATTCCGGGCTCTGTTTACAAGGCTGCTGGCCTAGCTGAAATACTCAGGCATCAATGAAGGTCACCTCTCAACTTAGAGTAGTGCCTGAAGATTACTTGGTGCGGCTTTAAACGACCGTTAAATGAAATGATGAATTTTTGAAGAATTTTGAAAACGGAAAAAATGCCAGCCCAGCATCACCAACATTGAAAAATGCCCTGGCATGAAGTGGTTAATCATGAAAACATAAGTAAATTTACACTAATACTTGGAAGCCAATTAACTGTCAAATTTCTTAGAATCCGGCACTGTTATTTATTTACTTCTTTCAGAAAAAGGTTGCAAATAAGGTTATCTAACTCTCACCTTTTCCCATGCCTTGTTGACAACCCCAGTGAACATGACCTTTGGCTTGGTCTCACTGGATCGTTTACGTAGTGACGGACTAGTGACCTCGTGTTCAGGTGTGTATGGGTCTTTGCGTTTTTTGTGCGGTGTAGGGCTTGGAGTGGTTTGGGCAGGTGCAGCCCTCTTACCACGCCTATTACTGCTGGGCGTGGCGGCAGGTTGCTGGTAAAAAGATGGACAAACAAGTTTCCTTCTTTAAATCGTTCATTTGAAGTGTTACTTGTGAAACAACATCAAATTGAACCATATTGCACAACATCCTTAAAACTCAAAAATAAAAGTAACGTGGGGCCGTATGACCTTGTGGTCAGGGTTTGTGACTCTCAAATCATAGGGTCAGGGGTTTGAATCCGGCAGGTGCATGTTATGACCTTAGGCAAAGTCACAGCACCTAGCTGTACACTCTCCAAGGAGCCGTGTTGTTTCTAAGGATGATTCCCAGTCCAGTAAGTGGGGACAGTAATGATTCAAGTGCATTCAGCCTTCATGCCAAATATACTGTGCAGGCACTCTAGCAATTTTGTGACTCGCATGAACACCGCTACTGTTGCACTTCTTTGAACCATGTTTAAGTGACGTGTGACCTAAGTTCATTTCTCAATTTAAAGGGTCTTTAAATTCGGAGATGAACTAAGGCTACACGAGAACGATAGTATCGACCACTCCTCACCTCTTCTTTTTGTGGTGTTTCCGACACTGTAGAGTTTCTTCCCTTCTTGCTGCCTCGCCCCTGTGAGGCCACTGCCACCTTGTCTGGAGTCACTGTCTGTGGCTCTGAGGTCGCAGGAGGAGGTTCTGTTGACCTCTGACCTTCCTCTTGCTTGGCCCCTCTTCGGCCACGCGCCGCTCGCTTCACCGGTTCCGGGGCGACGAATGCATCCTGTTTCCAAGCCAGCTTACTGGGTGACTTTCCTCCTGTCTCTGGTGTGCTTGGCTTGGCACGGCTGGACCGTGCTGTGGTCCTTGATGACAGTGATTCAGATGACAGTAAAGATGGGCTCTCGTTGGATTCCAGGCTGTCCAGCATGTTCTCCATCTTTGAGCTGCTTTTTTCAGGCTGACTTTTTAACCTTCCCTGGTCTTCTGTAACAGCAATGCTGAAGTCTGTTATGGAGGATTGTTTCAATCCCTTTGTCTGCGGCGCCACCACTGATTTGGGTTTTCTGCCTCGTTTTGCTGGAACAGCAATTTTATCTGATTCAATCGCAGCTTCTTTGGTTTGGTTTCGAGATGACCTGTTCCCCTCAGCACTACTACTGGTAACATCTCTGCTCTTCTCAACTGTTTCTGAAGCATTACTGGCTTGCTGATCTCTGTCAGATTTTGTTTGTGTTTTTTCCGAGGTTTCAGCCAGATTGCCCTTTGACGCTGCTGACCGTCTTGGCTGCCTCTTTCCTGCTGGTGTGGCTGGCAGTCTGCCCTCCTCAGCAGGAGCCTCACTGACCTGCTGAGCAGACTTGTCCATCTTGCCTGAGGCCATTCCTGCAGTTTTGCTGGCATTGCTCCTCCTTCCTCGCCGAGGCTTCACCGAGTCATCACTTTGCTTCCCATCGCAGGCTGTCACTTGGATTCTGACTGTGCTGATGTTCAGCTCTGCCGTCTCCACTGGCAGGCTGGACGTAGAGGACAGCGACTCCGTGTCATCTGAGTCGTGGCCTTCTATGGCCTTCTTGTAGCTGGCCTGCCGCCGTGAAGTCCTCCGGGCCGGGGCTTTCCCCTTGAGGCAATTCTCGTTGTTGTTGGCCTCGGGCACCTCAAGCCCACCGACGGACGACCAGACCATACCGCCGCCTTCCTTCAACTCCAGGGTGTCCTCCTCAGAATCCCCATCAGCAGGCTTGGACGGGGTTCCTGTGACGTTCCCAGTACCTTCAACGACGTCCCTGCTTTCCTTCTGCTTAACCTTGACAGCCCTCTTGGGCCTGACCTCATCTGAGGCTTGCTCCACTCCAGGAGCTGAGCGGAACTCCTTTGATTTCCTCCGTGTGGGCTTGGCATCTGTCTCAGTGACTCTTGTTGTCATTGGAGTGTCGTCCTTGAACCTAGCTGGGACCGTCCTCCCTCTGGCTGATTTCCGAAGGGGTGGAATTTTTTCTTCTGGAGTAGCTTCCTCTGGAGGTGTCTGGTAGTTTGAGAAAAATCACAAGAAAATGTGATTAATTATCAGCCATCAGTTATGATGAATGAAAGATTTACACTTCAAAGAATATTCACTTTAAAGACAAAAAGCTACTTCTAAAGTGTGCACATGGTTCCTGATAAACTGTATTGGTCTGTGCATGGCCACTGCAATTGTACCTGGCACTACTAAGCCTGCTACTGACACTGCATTCATGCATTGATTCATGAACAAAAATGGTGAACAGGTTTGTGACTACTTTTCACCAGAATATGCACAAAGTATTGGTATCTTTGCATGGTAGAGAAGTATCAGAGCTATTGCGGAAATGGTACTGAAGAATATGCCACTGATAGCGACAAATTACACCTTGAGCATAGTAAAGCTAAGCAAAGAGAGCACTTCTTCAACAAAAGCAGGTTACCAACTAAATGCCATGCACTTTAAATTTCTTGTGACCGGTTCCCTGCTGATATTTGCTTAGCACATCAAAATGTGCCAAGCAGTATTTTCTGTTCTTTGAGACGGGACCTTGCTGGTTGGAATCTACCTGTTCCTTGAAGGCCACTCTGCGTCCTCCCTGGGGCAGCCTCTTCTCTGGGCTGGCCATGGCGGAGCGGGCCGGCACCTTGCGCAGCATGGAGGAGACGCGAGAGATTCCTGCAAGAGGCTGGTTCTCTTCCTCTCTTTCATCTTGGCTGTCCGGGACTTGCTGGAATCAAGCCACAAAAAGAGAAAGATTCAAAAGGCTGAAATGTTTCCGTTCCACTGGTTAGGTACGTGTATTAAGCCCCATCCAGATTACATGGCTACAGTTGGAAATAACGCGTGTCCATGAAAATGCACAGTAGTAGCTTCTATAGGTGGTGTGATATCTTAAGCAATAACCAAACTTGAATATGGCCTACTTCTAGAGGAGGAAAGGACCGAACACGGTCTGGAGATGCTTCCAAAGTCTCAAATTGGTTTCGAAGAAAAGAGAAACGAGTAAAGATCTCTTTACTTTGAACTATTAACCCTTCTATGCTGAAGTCACTCTTTGGGTCATTTGGTAAACACCTCAAAGAAGCACAGCTGTGTCTTGTGCACTGCACCAACAGTCCCTCACAGGAATATCAGATTGCACTTTTGTGCTGCCCAACGACTGTGCTTCACTGTTTCACGTGCATAACTGTGCAGTAAACCAAATGCAGTGAAGAGGACTGCACAAAAGACCCTGGGTCATTTTGTGCCGACAACCTACTGTGTACACCCTGAACCTGTGCATGTTTGAGTTCCATATAGAAACTACATGCTCACCAGTGACTGTGGGCATTTGTGCACATTTGTGCTGTAAAACCAAAGGCGGGTTAAGGTACAAGTGCTGCTGTCTGGGGGATAAGAGAACAGCTCACTGAATGAAAATAGAGAGATGCCGTTGAGTACTGAAAGTGGAATGGGTGTCTTACTGTTTCACTCCCTGCTTCAGCTCCAATGACCTTGGTTTCCATGGAGGTGCCGTCCGTTTCCTCTTGTCTAACCTCTTCGTTGTCTTGTCTTTTTCCCCGAGCAGAACTCCCGTGCAGTTTTCTCTTTGCCATCACAATTGCTTTGTCCTGATCCGCTGGAAGCATCGGCCGATCGGTGGTGGAGGTTGACGGTTTCCCATGGATTTCTTGCATTTGGCCGTCTTCTTTGTCCAAGCCGTAGTTCCGTGAAGCTGCTGCTGTGTCGTCTCCATCCTCTGTAGTGTTGTACTGCAGGGTCGGTGCGTCCCGCTCGGCACGGGTGCCAGGTGTTTTGTTATCTTTGTCAATGCCATACGCCAGCGTGGTGGCAGTAGTGTCGTCCTCATCTTCTGTTGTAGTGTCGTACTGCAGGGTCGGGGCATCAGGCTCACTGTGAATGTCTGGTGTTTCGTCTTCGTCTTTGCCCGTGCCGTATGCCTGCGTGGTCACTGTCGTGTCATCGTCATCCTCTGTAGTGCTACACTGAAGAACTGGGGTGTCTGCTTTGTCTGCGAAACAATAACCCCGACCAACATGTGAAACATCGTTACTGAGCTCATGCCTATATGTAGAATGTCCTCCTGGCAACAAACTTTACCTGTGAGATAGCGCAAGTCAACGACAATTTGTACTGTGCATCCGAGGCACAGGTACCCTCACTCTGCAGTGAAATGTTCAATTGTAAACTCACTATCCCTAAACTAAGGACCAATTTCCTTTGTTCAGGACATAAACTCGATAAACCCAGGAAACCTTGGAAAAAGCAAACTGGACGCAGCAGTTGTTTTTTTTTATTCATTTGTAAGGCCGTTAAGTGCTCACGGTGAAATACAACACATCCATTAAAAATACCACACCAATGCTACTCCAGTGGGAACGACGATCACTCCACTGCTCAAGAACTTGACCTGATACTGTGTATTACATGTAAACTAATATGCTACAGCATGGAGCTACCACTATGGACTACCAAAGAGAACTCACCACTGGGCAAAAGTGCAACCAGCCACTTCTCTCGAATTTGCAATCCTTTAATTCCCGCCGAAAGTCAGTACGTACCTGATTGTTTCATTCCGTCAGCCAGTTGGGTTTCCATCTCGGCAAATCTATTAATCCTCTCCTCTCCCGCATCCGGTGACATCTCGGTATCCATAGGCTCCTCCTCGTCATAGGCCAGCGTGGCCTCCTCACAGTGACTGTCCACTGCCTCATCATCATCAGGAGTCTCTCTGGCTTGTCTTGAGGCCACACTGTCTGAGTTATCGTCGTAGGCCAATGTGGGTGCTTCCGCACTGACGATCTTGGAATGTTGCTTTCGGTCTGTTTGCGGTCTCCTTCTATATGTCTTTGGTTTTGCTTGTTCTTCATCCAAGTCCGAATCAGTTGTGGTGTAGGCCTGAGTTTCAGCCGCTACTAATGCAGAAATGTCCATGTCCTTCCGTGAAAGCAGAATATTTACAAAATTAAAAAGTTGAAGCTTTTCAAATAATTTATAATTTGGGCAAAGGATGTAGCTTTGGAGTATGTAATTCCTTGCTTGGATTCCTTCATATATATTTGAATTGTCTCCGACACTGTGACTTTCAATACATTTCACCTCTTACAGTGAGGAATACTTGATTTATGGGTAATTCTAGAACTTAGGGCTCCACATTTTCCAATTTCCAAGCGTGATGAATTTAGGCAAATTACCTGCCCAACAAATAGTAATAGCTTGAAATCAATTCCAGTGATATTTCCATGTCAAACAGCAGAGGTCAGATGTAACAGGGACACAAAAATGTCACACTTTTGGACCCCTAATGTCTGGAATTATCCTTACATCACTTAAACTCAGGTGTTCCAAAATGGAACCAATGAGCTCATTTATTGAAGAATGGCTGTTTGTCTTTAGACTCACTCATTCCTCAAAAAAACCTGCTAGCCAGTGTCATCTAAACTAAACGTATATCAATAGGTTGGTGTACCCTATGTTCGTGCTCTCTGTAGGCACACAACGTCAACCAACGCAGACTCCAACTTGCATTTTATAGCCACTTCTTTTAACACTAAAAGATAAATTAAGCAATGCACATGAAGGCTCTTTCTAGTTTCCCTGAATTGGGAGAAGCAGATTTCCTCATTTTCATCCAACGAAAATGTGATTGTTTAAAGAATTACTAAATCCCTTGTTTCAGGAAAGCAATGAAATTTCTAAGCAATATGATAAGCATTAAAATAAAATGTTACTGGATTTCTAACCTCTTCATTATCTTCCTCTGTTGTGTAAGCCAGCGTTGGCTCTAGGCATATATCCACGTTGCCCTCCGGACCACTCTTGTCTACTGCAACTCCCATATCGTACCTCAATGTTGGCTCAGCTTCCTTTGTTCTTTGGTCGTTTATATCACTATCAGTCTTGGCCTGATCAGGTCCGGTACCTGGACTCTCTGACTCCATATCATACTTGAGAGTTGGGTCCAAGGTGTTCATGGCCCTGCGCTTCCGCAGATCAAACTCATCGTCCTCGTCAGACTGGTCGTCTGTGTCGGCACAATAGGCCTGGGTAGCCAGGTCGGGAAATGCCAGCGTCGAGGCTTCCATGTCATCAGGGCTCATGTTCCCACGAGGGCGCCCTTTGGCCACTGCAGTCTTGCCGCCCACAGACTCGTCAGCTTCTTTGTCCGACTGGTCATCGGTGTCTGGGCAGTAGGCCTGGGTCGCCAGGTCCGTGTATGCCAGTGTCGATGTCTCACCATCTTCGTCACTGTGGCCTTGAGGGCTCTTCTTTGCCTCAATGGCATCCTTATGTTGAGGGTAGTGTTTGGGCCTTCCTGGTCTCTTCGCAGGACTTGTCTCATCGTCAGTGGAAAGATTGAAAATCAGAGTTGGTTCCAGACCTACAAATACAAGAAAAAGAAGGATCAACAGCTTCATGAGTCAGAATCAAACAGAACAGTTTCGCCTCTGGGCTCTTTGAACTGGAGGGGATAGCCTTTAGTTATCACAGCACAGTTTCTTGGGTGTTGGTTGGATTTTATGGAGTCTTGCTGATACTTTTGTCATGTTTGTGTCTCAAATGAAGGAGCCTGCACACATTTAACATGCTTCAAACTTCCGTTCATAGCTACGCAAGTTGAAACAAACCAGTCAAGATACACTGAAAATTTAACAACAACAAAAAACTACAAAGAAAGAAAAGAGACAAGTGTGGGGAAAGTCCAGAACAGACAGATACTTCTTCACATCACTTAAAACTTCAAATGACACTCTAAACTGTTAAACACAGGGGTCTTTGAAACAGATTCTGCAAGGATCAACATGTCTGGCCCATTACCTTTTTAGTTATTGTATACTTTTGGTCACTTGTAGCCAGCAGTTTGCTCCAGTTTCCTTACATTTCTGAACTTGGATAAACAACTCACATACTTGAGGAAGTTAACCACATCCTGCCGGGGAGCCCGTTTTCGGGTACCTTGGGTTTGTACGCATAGCTGGGGTGTCTGATATCGGACAAAAGAGCTTGGGCCATGTACCAAAGACCGTACTCGGAACAAACAACAGAGCTGCTGGGAATTGCCAACATTTTTCAGCTGTCAATAGCGGAGGAAATCCGTCGTTGTTTTGAAAGATTATATCACTGTTTGTGGCATTCAGCACGAGCGGATTACCACAGAGGACAAAAGTGCTCCAGCACTCCAGAGATGAGCAAACAATACCGCTGCACACTAATCTGGCCCGTTTTCACAAGACACCAGAAGCACACTGTGCCAGTTTCGGGAACAAAAGAAACTCATGTAACACTGCACAATCTTTTTACAAGGCAGCAGGCCTGGCTGAAATTCTCTCGCACCAATAGATGTTGTCTGTTCGAGTAGAGTAGCCACCTGACAAACACTCTATAGGGTTTAGGCGTTCAGGGAAAAAAAATAAGGATTTTGGGAGATTTTTGAAAACCGAAGATATTGAAAAATTGCCCGAATGTAGGCACTGCGTTTTTAAAAGCACCCGACGGGACAATGGTTAAGGGGTGAAAGTTCTTGTCTAGCTTACTTATTTTCTTGTTCTTTGTTTTGCCCTTGGCAGGCTCCATCTCGTCCTCAGAGTCTGGCACACCAAAAGCCTGGGTGGGTGCATCAAACAGGCCCTGCCTTCTGATCTCGTCAGCGTCATCTGTACAACAGCATTAAATGCCACACAAAGATGTTACTACCAGTAACTCTGCCGCGACTTGGATCACAACTTATGCAGGAGAATTAATTTTGGAGGAACAATGGGTCTGGTAACTGGTCATAGTTTAAAGGGATAAATTTGTCACAGTTCATTTAAATAGCTTTTAACAGGATGACATTTTATGAACCTGGGAGAACTTCGTAACAGTTGGGAATGGTTAACATAACAAGTCATATTAGAAACAATTCTTCACGCTGTTAGGGCCCTGTTTCCCTTAGCGTTTCTTAACACCCGGTTTGGAGTTAACCAAGCCTCCATCTGTTTCGTAACGACCATTGCAGTCAGCACAGCAAAAGCATGCATAATTCCAGAGAAAAAAAAAGTTGCTTAAATCAGTGATGAAAGAATAGAAATTTGGTCAGATCTTTTGAAATAATGTACAAAAGCACACAAATTCCAATAAAGAGTAAAAGCCAACCCGCAAGTATTTACAAGAATTAATGCAAAATCAAAAACCAGTAGCAGAACCAGAACACACACAGAGCAAAGACTCGGCAGAAAGAGAACACTAGAGCTGACCACAATCTGAGTAAGAACTAAACTCAAAAACAGACCTTGAGCCCTTGTGTTTGCCTTAACACGTATACAGTAAGTCACTTAAAGATGTGTACTGATTCTTCCTATGTACGCATTTCACCTCTGCTTCCCGGGTTCGAATCCCATCAAAGACAACACATGGATTAGGTTCTCAGTTCTTACCTGAATCGATTGGTTTTACCCAGAATATTCCTCTGGGGTTTTCCTCCCACCTCTAAAACTGTAACTGCTTCTCATTGTCAACTCTCTACAGGTTTCCCCAGGCTTGTGAGTTACAGTGCTTGGGTGCTCTTGAGGGATCCGTGGTTTCTCAACCAGAAATAATAAACAATTATAATCAAAAACATGCAACGATTCAGTTTGTGGGGAACTATGGCAAATTTACCCTCATCTGATTCCGTGGTTGCCAGGTAGGCCTGTGTTTCCTGCTCATCCGTGCCTCCATAGGGCTGAGTGGGAGCCACGGCAAGTGCATTAACATCCAGCGCAGAATGTCGACTTCTTCCGGCTGAAAAATACAGAAAAAAGTCACAAGTTTGCTCAGGCGGGACTTGAACCCATGACCACCTGTTTACACAGATGTCTGGCCATTCCACTTCTAAGCTTGTCAAGGGTTGGCTGACCAGGTTTGAGTTGATGGGCAGTGGTGAGTACGTTAGGCAAACTTTCATAATGTATAATTTATGTATCACAAATAGGCAATGCCACATTGGGGAAACACTTTACTTTTTGAAAAATAAATAAAGCAAGCAACAGAAAGCATAGGTACACTGACTCAAAACTAGTACAACGAAATAGTTAATGAGTTAATTCAACAGTGAGAAAAACCCAACGACTCAATTTTCAAATAGAATACTTACTGGTGCTTTCTTCAATATCTGATTCATTCACGACAGTGCTCTCTGCAATTGAAAAGAGATGGAAAAAAATCTCAAGAACAACTGTGCTTGAAAAGTCGATGGCAATGAAATTTCATTTTGAGCGGAGTGAAATCAATTCATGTAGATATCCCTGAGACTACAGTTGACCAGAGTGGTGACAGAGGCCGTGCAGACATGATCCCACCATCTACATGTATACTTGCAGGGTCAGGAGATGGATTAAGCTGCCAAACATTCCCGGAGTTCTCTGCCTCCTGGCTTGTGCGCACACATCCTGGTGCGGCAAGTATCACTCAGTGGCAGTGCCCATCAGCATGAACAAATAGGAGGTCAAAGGACGAAAGACTGCACGACAGTTGCTGAAATCATTCCGAGTCAGCATTTGTGGCACTAGGCTTTACTTGAAAAGTTGCCTCTTTCTCTTGAATTCTGGCCAAATTGAGATATTGGATCAAAAATAATACCATCTGGACGCAGTTGGCCCTACCCTCTTCTGTCCTACAACAGTAACAACTCACCAGCTAAGGGTTTGGAGGCTGGTGTCTCTGCTACACTCCCAGGAGATATGGAGCTATCTGCTACTGCTTTCACTGTCAGAAGAAGAAGAAACAACAAAATGATCAACATGTAGAATGTTCCAAATTCAATGAACTAACGGTAACAAACTTAACATGTACATGGGTAATTCCAGAAATGAGGGGTCCAAAAGTGTGACATGTTTGTGTCCCTGTTACATCTGACCTTTGTTATTTGACGTGGAAATATCACCGAAACTGATTTCAAACTATCAATATTTGTTTGGCAGGTAATTTGCATTAATTCATCACTCTTGGAAATCAGAGAATGTGTTCTGAACTTACAAAATCATAGGTCAGATGTGACAGGGACATGAAAAACATGGACCCCTAATTTGTGGATTAACCCGCATGTACTGTGCTTACTATCCACAACTCAATTTATAGATTAGTGCCGTGATTTTTTGCTACATTCTTGTATTTGGTCAAAGCCATTTTAAAATCAAAGGCTTCCAACAGACATGAGAATGGATGAAAACCTTTCATGGCAAAGTCTCAAAGTTGGACATGCACAAAACCTCTTCAAAAAGGAAAAAAGTGAAGGCAATTGTGAGGTACTTGTAGACAATTACATCATCTGCCATAAAAATGGAAAATATGCCTATGGGGAAAACATGTGCTGTTCAATTAATGTAAACTGTAATAAAAAAAAAACAGATCAATGTATGCCCCCAAAATATCCACAAACTTGAGGCCCTGTCTACAGTGTCGGTGAGATACCGGTCTGTTTGAGCTTGGCAACTATGTCAAATTCAACCCTCCACACCTTCCTCACCTGTTTCTGTGGGTATATTCTCATCTGAGCTCTCGGCAAAGACCAGGGTGGCTAACTCCCGCTGTGGTGTCTCGAGGATGACCGTCTGCTTTTTCTCTGTCTCCGGTGGGGCCTGAGTCGGTTGCACGATGTCGTAGCTGGAACTGGAACCAAAATCTGTGTCCTGGCAGAGGGATCAATGATAATGCCGATGAGAACAAGGAAATGTGCGTGACTCACTTGAAACTCTATTGGCAACTGCTGTCATTTTAACATCACTTTCCAACACTTGAAGCTATACGGCACAAATGAGTGGATGATTTTGAAGGATGCATTGTGTCCGGTCACAAATCAGATCTTGTATTGTCAACACCCAACCATGAATAAAATTAGGCCCTGGATACACTTTAAATCATTCAAAATGCTCTTGGATATCATTTGTTTCGCCTAAACATGTTCAAAATGAATTGCCTACTGATTTGGAAAAACTGAAGCTGTGTCCAACATCAAAAGCAAAAATGGCAAGGATTAAATATCAAACTGGGTTTAAGACTGTGGAAGTTCTCATGCAATAATTAACCCTAACACTCCTCAATCCTTTACCTGTTGGAAGACTGATGACTGTTAGGGTTAAGTACTGAAAATGACATCCACTGACACCCACTGACACTCACTGACACCTACTGACACCCACTGACACCCACTGACACTCACTGACACCCACTGACACCCACTGACACTCACTGACACACACTGACACCCACTGACACCTACTGACACACACTGTTTACAAAGTGAATTCACAAGAACGCCAGTGGTACAGTATATATTTTGAATAAAATATAACATGCATGTAGAACTTCCAAAACAGCACAATATATATAAAAATATCTGAATATTTTTCAAATAGTGGTCCAAATCTTTAGATTACATCTTTCAAGCGGGTAATCTCTGCCATGTAAAATTACGCTGAAACACTTTTCAAATAAATGTTGCTGAATATACCTTGACTGGCTGTGCCGTGTCCTTTCCATTCTGTGCATCAAGAAGCACTGACTCGGAGCCAGTCTCTGAACCATCATCATCACTGTCTGGGACCAGGTCTCTCCCTCTGGGTCTCTGAAACAAAGAAAACCAGATGCCATTCAACTGATAAGTATCATCTATACAGCATGCATTATACAGAGGGGTAGCTGGTTCACATACAGTGGATCTTGTGCTGTGTAAATTGGCAAGTAATAGTGATTTTAACCCAACCTTCCCCAAACGCACAGAATTAAACAGAAGTAAAGTGTTTAATTCTGTGGGGATAGGTCTGGTAGGCCCATAACAGCTGGCTTTTGCATTGGGTTCGGCATACCTCAGAAAAACAAAGTCTAACAACCTCTGTGCACAAAGTCCCATATGGGTGTTCAAATTTGTGTGAATGGAGAAGGTTAGGGCCAGCAACCCTTGGGAGGTTAGGGTTAAAAAACATAAGTTGAAAAGATTACAAAATGGGATTTCTTATAGTCTCTTTCTTATAGTCAGCATCATGCTGCATTCATTTTCAGTCAGAGTCAGTCAGCGCGACATTTTCAGTCAGAGTCAGTCAGCACGACAAGACGTTGCTGCGACCGTGTCTCGAAGTCTCATCAATTTTAACTGTTTTCTTCTGAACAAGAGTCAGTTTTTACAACTCTAAAATAAACCTTCGCCCAGTCAAGGTGTTCTTGTCATGAACAGTTATTGATCTGCTGTAAATTTGCTGGGATTACACAAGATTTGGCCCTGAAATCCTTCGACAGCGAGATCTGACCGACTATCGTCATGTCTGGATACAGTTGCATACTCTACAGTATTCTACTCGCAGCTAGCGTTGTGAATAATGCTGTCGTCGCTGGTACCGGTACTCCACCTGGTGGGTCATTGCCTGATTCAAACCTATTGTGGGAACCAACTGACCTCGACGGCCAACGCCCTCCATCTCGTTCGTGTCGTCTCCGTTACAACAGAGCAGTACTCCTGAACCTAAAAACAGGCGCAAGGCATATAAGACTCTCTACTTATGAATGGCAGACACTGAATTCTCTAATATCTGCAGTACCAGGAAAACCAAGCGTGGAATTAGAGCTGGAAAAAGACACAAGAGATTCATCCGAGTTGTTACAGGTCACCGTTGTTCCTCTCCCCAAGTGATGGGCGGGAACTATGAAAAAGGTGGGGTTAACTTCACAAACTTAAAGCCAGTTAAACTTGTAAGTACACCAATTCTCACCCAACAACCCAGGCTCTGGTACCCAGCTATCCTTCCATCGATAACTTTGATCAACGCCAGATCTCTGGTTCAACAGATTGACGAATTAAATCTAATACTTGATAGCCAGAACATTGACATTGCCGCTGTTACCGAAACCTGGTTCCCTGACAGCATTGACTGCAGTTACTTTTCCATTCCGAACTACAATATCTGGAGCAAGCCTCGCATTGGAAAGAGAGGCGGTGGAGTTGCTATCTACGTGAAAAATGACATTAAAACCAGACTTCTTACTGAAGTGTCTGTTCCTCAGGAATTAGAAGCCCTATGGGTGTGGGCTCGCCCTCCCCGTTTGCCACGTTCCATCACGGGATTGGTCTTTTGTGTTGTATACCACCTGCCTGCATCC